AAATAGCTTGATAGTTTGCCAAATAGTAGGATATTTTACAAACTATCCCAAGATATCTTGGGATATTATCCCGACCAACTATCCAGCTAATTTGCTACTTCGTTCTAATGAAGACGCAATTAGCTGGATAGTTTGCGATCGGGATAGTTCAAATAGCTGGATATTTGGCAATCTTGAGATAGTGAAGACGGGCCTATACAGTGTATGCAACCACAGTGTCCGTGTTGTATATTTGCAGATAAGATTTTGTTGCTATACATGTTCATATCATTTGTTTACAATTACATTCATGAGCCTATCACAAATCTATTCCATGAACAGACAATTTCAGCATAACTTCAAGCCAACTGGCCCTGAAATGGAATTCAATTTCAACATAAACTTTAGAAGTTTAGATTAGTTTTAACTACCGGTATGAATCATTTGGGTACACGTACTTAAGGCAAGTATTTTATAAAACTCTGCTTCTCACTAAAAAAAGTTTAATACATTTCATATTTCTGTATCTTAAACACGTACTGTAGCTACATGTACAGTATATGAACATGTACAGGTACAATGTACATGACTTTGTTGCACATTTAAAGATGAAGTTGAGTTGCATTGTGAAAGAAACGGTGTGAAATCAACCAGAAAAGGTTGATCATCTAGCATATAAGAATTTGTGTGTATTGCAAGGTTCTGGAATCATCAAAATGATAAGAAATTTGGCCAAGTCTTGGTAAAGTTCCAAGCACTATACACAGAAAGATGTATATGGGACTACACGAACACGTGGCGTAAAAACCTACCCCCCCCCCCCCCGAGTTTTACGATGAACATGACATATTTAGAATATGAAGGCATTTGAAGAGCCATGCTTTTCAGGGAACATGTCTTATCTGAATTTCTTCCAAACTTGCATAATAAGAATGATAAAGTTCACAAATTATTTTTCACCTCTTCCCAGAACTCAACCTTCTCTTTAAAAGAACCTGTGGCAGTTTCTTTTGTGGCAGCTTTGTCTACTGCTGGTAATCTGTAGTTGGCTTCAGTGCCGATAACACAGTGAACTAAGAGAAGTGTCTACTGAAACAACATGGTTATTAGAAGAAGTTGAAAGGAAAAGTTTATCTCATCATTATATGAATGAGTTTTTAGATAAACCGCAGCAGCTTTTGGAGTCAATTTTGCCAGTTTACCACATCATACATTTGTTTCTGCACAACTGAACATGCCTTCAAAGAAGGAATCCAATCTACTTATTCATTATCATACTAGTACATGCATGTCATACTCAGTTTTAAGAAGCTGTGATCATCTACAATCCAATCTGCCGTACACAGAGTGGACCGACGTGGAGCCGATGGGGAAGTGTTTTTCTACGAAGAGGCACCAGCGGTCTTCCCAGGGCGACTGGGTTGTACCCTGTGGTGGTTCATGGTGTGAGGAATATGGAAAATGCTGCCTGTGCATTAGGGACGGTCTCAACAAAACTCCTGTCATCTCCAAGTTTATGCATCCAGAATTCATTAGAATCATGCAGAGGCCTTATTCTTTAAAGGGAAAGTCCACCCTTTTGGTTTCAAGGTGACCGCAGCAGAAAAATTAGATGAACATATCGATGGAGAGTAAAAATGTGAGGAATATAGAAAATGGTTGATGTGCATTAGGGATGGTCTCAACAAAACTCCTGTCATCTTCAAGTTTATGCATCCAGAGTACAATAGAATCATGCAGAGGCCATATTGGTTAAAGGGAAAGTCCACCCTTTTAGTATCAAGGTGACCGCAGCAGAAAAATTAAGATGAACATATCGATGAACAGTATAACTGTGAGGAATAATGAAAATGTTTCCTGTGCATTAGGGACAGTCTCAACAAAACTCTTATCATCTTCAAGTTTTTGCATCCAGAATACATTAGAATCATGCAGAGGCCATATTATTTAAAGGGAAAGACCACCCTTTCTGTTTCAAAGTGACAGCAGAAGAAAAATTATAAGACATATCAATGAAAAGTAGAAATGTGAGAAATATTGAAAATGTTTCCTGTGCATTAGGAACGGTCTCAACAAAACTTCTATCATCTCCAAGTTTTTGCATCCATATTGGTTAAAGGGAGAGTCCACCCTTTTGGTTTCAAGGTGACCGCAGAATAAAAATTAGATGAACATATCGATGAACAGTAAAAAATGTTTCCTGTGCATTAGGGATGGTCTCAACAAAACTCGAGTCATTTTCAAGTTTTAACATACAGAGTACAATACATGTAGAATCATGGAGAGGCCAAATTCTTTAAAGGGAGAGTCCACCCTTTTGATTTCAAGGTGACCGCAGCGGAAAATGAGATGAACGTATCCATGAACAGTAAAAGTGTGAGGAATATTGATAAATGTTTCCTCTGCATTAGGGATGGGCCAAACAAAACCCAGGTCATCTTACAGATTTTACAGTTAAATAAACTAGATGGAACTTCGACTGCGCGCAGTCGAAAATGATGCCTCCGTCATAGAGCAATTTTACAAACCAAAACAGAAGAAATTTTTCAAATTCAAGTTCAATTGTAATCCATTAAGAGGTTCTCAGAATATCGTGATTACAAGCAATTTCTCATATACATATATGACCCTTTGATCTTTGACCTGATGACCCTAAAATCTACTCAGTTCATTGGCTCTGCAAGATGTCCTGAGTTAAATAGTAATCCATCTGTCAGTTCTAATGAGAATGCGTTCACAAGTTATTTTTGGATACATAATGAGCCCATGACCTTTAACCTCATGACCCATGAATCTACTCAGTTCATTGGCTCTGCAAGATACATACATGATCAAAATTTGGCAGGAATCCATCAATCTGTTCTAATGAGAATGCGATCACAAGCTATTTTTGCATACATAATGAGCCCTGTGACCTTTGACCTTTGACCTCGTGACCCCAAAATCTATTCAGTTCATCGGCTCTGCAAGATACATACATGACCAAAGTTTGGCAGGAATCCATTGATCGGTTCTTGAGATAATGCGATCACGAGCTCTTTTTGCATACCTAATGAGCCCTGTGACCTGTGACCTTTGACCTTGTGACCCCAAAATCTAATCAGTTCATCGGCTCTGCAAGATACATACAAGACCAAAGTTTGGCAGGAATCCATCAATCGGTTCTTCAGATAACGCGATCACGAGCTGTTTTTGCATACATAATGAGCCCTGTGACCTTTGACCTTTGACCTCGTGACCCAAAATCTAATCAGTTCATCGGCTCTGCAAGTAACATACATGACCAAAGTTTGGCAGAAATCCATCAATCGGTTCTTCAGATAACACGATCACGAGAACGGGACGTACGGACGGACGGACGGACGTACGGACGTACGGACGTACGGACGTACGGACGTACGGACGGACGGACGGACAACCCGAAAACATAATGCCTCCGGCTACTTCGTAACGGAGGCATAATAAAATTAAATAGGCCCATGAGTTTCAAGGGAAAGTCCACCCTTTTGGTATTGAGTTTACCACAGCAAAACAATTATATGAACATATGAATCGATAAACATTAAAAACTAGATGGAATTTGACTGCGCGCAGTCGAAAATGATGCCTCCGTCATAGAGCAATTTTACAAACCAAAACAGAAGACATTTTTCGAATTCAAGTTCAATTGTAATCCATTAACAGGTTCTCAGAATATCGTGATTACAAGCAATTTCTCATATACATATATGACCCTTTGATCTTTGACCTCATGACCCTAAAATCTACTCAGTTCATTGGCTCTGCAAGATGTCCTGAGTTAAATAGTAATCCATCTGTCAGTTCTAATGAGAATGTGTTCACAAGCTATTTTTGCATACATAATGAGCCCATGACCTTTGACCTTTGATCTTATGAACCAAAAATCTACTCAGTTCATTGGCTCTGCAAGTAACATACATGACCTAATTTTGGCAGGAATCCATCAATCGGTTCTTGAGAACGCGATCACGAGCTGTTTTTGCATACATAATGTGCGTTGTGGCCTTTGACCTTTGACCTCATGACCCCAAAATCTAATCAGTTCATCTGCTCTGCAAGTAACATACATGACCTAAGTTTAGCAGCAATCCATCAATCGGTTCTTGAGATAACGCAATCACGAGCTGTTTTTGCATACATAATGTGCGCTGTAGCCTTTGACCTTTGACCTCGTGACCCCAAAATCTAATCACTTCATCGGTTCTGCAAGTAACATACATGACCTAAGTTTGGCAGCAATCCATTACTCGGTTCTTGAGATAACGCGATCACGAGCTGTTTTTGCATACATAATGAGCCCTGTGACCTTTGACCTTTAACCTCATGACCCCAAAATCTAATCAGTTCTTTGACTCTGCAAGATACATACATGACCAAAGTTTGGCAGGAATCCATCAATCGGTTCTTCAGATAACGCGATCACGAGCTGTTTTTGCATACATAATGAGCCCTGTGACCTTTGACCTTTGACATCGTAACCCCAAAATCTAATCAGTTCATCGGCTCTGCAAGATACATACATGACCAAAGTTTGGCAGGAATCCATCAATCGGTTCTTCAGATAACGCGATCACGAGAACGGGACGTACGTACGTACAGACGTACGTACGTACAGACGTACGTACAGACGGACGGACGGACAACCCGAAAACATAATGCCTCCGGCTACTTCGTAACGGAGGCATAAAAAGGGAGGAATATTGAAAATGTTTCCTGTGCAATAGGGACGGTCTCAACAACTCGTGTCATCCTTGAGTTTTTACATCTAGAATCATGCAGATGCCTCATACTTTAAAGGGAAAGTACACTTTTATGGTTTTTATTTGAGCGCACCAGGAAATATCAATAGAAGGTAAAAATTGAATACATTGAAACGCACGATAAACTTAATACACGCATTTAAATAGGTTGTCCACGAACTTGTACTTATGACGATTTCATGAAATACTGCCGAGTTTGTTTAATCTTGAAACTAAGTACGTAAATTGTTTATAACTTACCCATGTTCTGGATCTAACGCTATTGCTCTCGGCAGATGTAAATCTTTCCAAAATAAGACTGTTCTTGAGCTGCCGTCTATCTCACTGACTTCTATTCTGTTTGTATCTGCGTCAGTCCAATATAATTTCCGGCTCACCCAATCACAGGCAAGTCCGTCTGGGGCGACGAGCCCCGTCGTAATAACGTCCTCCACGACCTCTGAGCCGTTATAAAACATTCTTTTGATCGCTTCCAAGCTAACGTCCGTCCAGAAGACGAGGTTTTCGGAAAAGAGGAAGTCGACCGCCGCCGCATCTTTGAGACCTTCGACGACCGGGAGGGAAGACGCCTGCGTGAAGTTGGAAGCGGGCACGGTGAGGAGTTGTACATCGCGCCGGTTTGCGAAGAGGAGTTGTGTATTTGCTGCAGAGGGAGAGTAAAGGAGAGAACGTCAGCAGAATAAAGATTTTTCAAAGTGTACTTCATGACATTGTAACAACTCGTGGACACACACATTTATCTCCCAAATTCTAAATGTACATGTACAGGTATTAAGAGCCGAGACAGTTTAGAAAATAGAAATCGTTCCAAAAGAATCATGGCTGATAACAGAAGTCTGGAATTTCGTTATTATTGTTATTATTTTAATCATTCCTCTATTAAACTTGAAATGGCTTTACTTATCATGAACAGGGTTAATTCACTGACTAATCGTTGCTACACACTGTCAATGGCAATGACAATTTTTCTAATAATTCATAAGGACCTGATTACTTTCTTTTGCAGAAGTCAAAACTGCCAAAAAAAACAGCTAAGTTTATGGCAATGTCAAATTGTTAAAAGTACATCTAAAGCTTGAAGGTAAATTTTACATTGACTATGCACCATTGACTTTTCTTGAAATCAAGTTATGTACATTGTAAACACAATAGAGCTACAATGTAAATACACAATAGGCCTATATAATGTACATGTACTGTACATGCGTTAGATGCAGGGGATGCAAGTTCCAAGACGAAGTAGATTTTCTTAGAATGAACGTAATAAAAGTGACTGTTTCTTGAGAAACTGAACCCTCTACCAAAGATGCCCACAATGCATGAATGCATCTCAATGCAGAAGTCTTGGTGTGTTTACATTTTCAAAGATGAGTGATTTTATCATTGGGATTGTCTTGGTGGTCCCAGTAACAAAGATGAATATATTGTATTTGATTTTAAAGATTATACAGGTACCGATAATGTTACTGTTACTTTTATATATATGTGGACCTGATATGGAAATACTATAATCATTATCGCCTATAAATGCAAATATAAGCAAATAAGCACCTTACACGTACATGTTATATTATATAATACATGTAGGTTCACTAGAAATATAATATCTTTTCTTTATGCATGTACATGTATCATTTTTCTCAAAAATTTCGGAATTCAGAGAATGACAGTTTGATAAATCATTAAAAAAAAGTATATAATGACAAAGTCAGACATTTAGTTAATTCAAAACAATTTAATTTAGATTGTCTAAATATCTGAGCATGCATGTACATACATGTATATAGTCCCAGCATATGTGTTTTGCCACTGTCAGAATATGAGTAAAATAAAATATGCAACATAAAATGCATGCAAAGTTGGTCAGATCTACATGTAAATAAAGGTCCAGGTTTACCAATTTGTGTGTCATATATTTTGCAATCAAAGGGCTGTTCATTTCCTAAATTTCATAAACAAAGCACCCATGAATCTCACACAAGGAATTCAAGATACCGGTAATAGGCTACCCATTGATTGACCCAAATAAATACATCAACTCTGGTGAATGTGAACATGGCATTGGCCAATCTTCCACCAATCTTTGCATGTATGTATACACACCACCAAAATCACAAGCACTCACTCTATGTACTCCATATCCACACACACACACCAGATTCAATAGGGGACACACACAGAATGGTATTTGTGTGTATACACAGTGAGTCCATTTTATCACAATGGGCTCTGAAACACTGACCCAATATATACAATCTCCCCCATTTTGTTGATGTGCATGCTGCAGTGTTATAGTACATGCCCCACAAATCTTGGCTGGCTTCTTGCCTATAACAATACATGGGTCATAATGGGGGCCTGATTATAGGGTATAGGGGTGCTGAATAGCCCCCCTTGGTCCCAAGAGGGGGGCAACTGAACACTTCCAAAAAGCCCAGGCTCATTAGTAAGGGATTACAAGGAAGACAGCTTACCGTGCTCTCTGCATGGGGCTACTCAATCTTTCAAGTTTTTTCTCAAGAAAATACTACACAACAATAGCCTTCTTACACTCTTACAGAATACGCAGGAAATGGCATTGTACATGTAGATCCCTGGATTTACTTGGTACATACATTGTAAGCTTACATGTCTAAAGTAGAGAACCATCATATAGGCCTATTAGAACTACATACATGTACAACAATACATACACATTCACATGTACATGTACACTGTATGACGTACAGGAGGATAGCGTAACTTTTACAATTACTGTACAAAAATCTCCAGTTGCATTTTCAGTCACAGATCACATTAATTACTTTTAATCTTCGTATAAAAATATTTACAAAAATTTGATACAAGTATTCAAGAGAAAATTATTTCATTTCATGATCATTAATGCAAGGTCATCCTACATGCGTGGATATCGGTACTCTGAACAATGAAAAATACAACAAACATGCTACATGTAACTACATGAAAATCAATAGACAGAGTGCAGCATCACTGAAGCGAGCGAGATGAAGCAAATACATTATGAACGAAATTGGCATTAAGATTTTTCTGAAGAAAATGAAGGCAAATCCGTTCATAAGATAAGAAAAAAAATGTTATGCAGCCTTCCAGGTACGTGTACTTTCTAAGTTTTACTCATTAATGAATGTACGTAATCATGAAAATCATTAGTACTAGTAGTAGCAGAGACAAGATATTTCTGCAAATCGGTGTAGCAGACAAAGATGGATTCGTAAACATTATTCATTATGATTTCTCCTGCATGAGCAAAGAAGGTGACTCCTCAAAAAAAAATGAAGAAAAAAGCACACAAAAGCTTTTTCATTACTTCTAAAATACTTTTTGATCGATGTAAATCATCCTGAACATTAGTCGTTATGATCTTTCATGTGAAAAACTAAAAATGAAAATGAAGATAAACAATAAACATAAAACGAAGGTTTTCCTGTTCTTCTAAACCACCTCGTTGATGAATGGTAATCATCCCCACAAAATTAATATCATGCAATAAGTCTTTTTCTGCAAATTGTTGCTGCAGACAAGATAGATTCATAAACATTTGTCATAATATCATTATTATTTTTTCTGAGAAAAAAAGGCAACTCCTTGTAAAAATGAATAAATATATAACACAGAGTCTTCCATCTACAATGTACTTCATCACAAGTCGTTGATGAATGTTTCTCAATTACGCATGCCTAATGGGCCTTCACAAATGGACTTCCCATTTTCCCAGCCTGACTGCTTCGCAATCAATCAATTACGCAGCCCTTCTTGGTAAGACGATACTCCTTCAAATTAAGCCATATTAATTTCATACGCTCTCCACAGGAGTCTATTATACTACTGAATTAAAGAGAATGTTGTGTTCTAACTGACCATGCGATTGTGTAGTGGAAGAAACTATCAACAAACACATATAAACCTAGAAGTCGTTGAAAAAGGTGACTTCAAATACAGCATGTACGGTATTTACATGTACATGTATTCATAACAAAAGACGAAAATTGTGTGTATTATGAGATTTGTGGGTCGTAACTGATAACTAATGGACTACATCTTCCCTTTAATGCTAGAGATGTCTTTATTATTTTTCAGCTGGTCTGTGATTTGTGGCAGTAGAACTCGGAAAGGAGAGAGGAAATGTATATTTATAAGTAGGTAACCATATTGACTAATGAATAATATGGATTTTCATAGTGCTTTTTAATGAATTATTGTTTATAATAAGAGTGACGGCCTTTCTAAATGAATTGCTTTTAAATATCACGCGTTATGCTTTAGATATAGGGTGCGTTCAATCGAATTTTCGAAGCTAGAATCACAAACATGAATCACAATTCAAAACGCCGTTACAAAAAGCAAGGTCACTGCGGTTTGCGTTCAAGCGATTTTTCATCAACGCTGATTCTAGCTCATTGCGAGCCAAACCACTGCGCATCACACTGCGCAGTATGGCCCAGGAACTTCGGCGCGCGCTTTCTGGAATTGTTTACGGCCGACTGTCGACTGCTGTTTTGAGCATAGATCGCAATAATAAGACAAAGAATGAGAAGGTGATAGAAGGAAGAAACAAAGAATAACATAAGGAAAGACAGAAAGATAAAGTCGATAGAATGATTAAAACTAAGAATAACATAAGAGAAGGTGAAAGAAGGAAGAATCGAAGAATAACATAAGAAAAGACAGAAAGACAGAAAGAGAGAGTGATAGAATGCTTAAAACAAAGAATTACATAAAAGGTGATAGAAGGAAAAAACAAAGCATAACATAAGAATAGAAGGAAGAAACAAAGAATAACAAAAGAGAAGGTAATAGAAGGAAAAAACAAACTTAAACATAAAAATAGAAGGAAGAAACAAAGAATAACATAAGGAAAGACAGAAAGAGAAATTGATAGAATGCTTAAAACAAAGAATTACATAAGAAAAGGTGATAGAAGGAAGAAACAAAGAATAAAATAAGGAAAGACAGAAAGAGCAAATGATAGAATGATAAAAACAAAGAATAACATAAGAAAAGGTGATAGAAGGGAAAAAACAAAGAATAACATAAGAATAGAAAGAAGAAACAAAGAATAACATAAGGAAAGACAGAAAGAGAAAATGATAGAAGGAAAAACAAGGAATAACATAACGGAACAGGCCACGATGGTATAGTGAACGCAAATTGCATGCAAAGCGGGCGCGCGGTTTTTCCCAAACCGGAAGAGGCTTCGTCATGCAATCATGATTGAGAACTCCGTCCGTTCAATCGAATTTTAGCGACCGTGATTCTTTTGAATCATGATACAAAACGCATCTTTTTCAGCGTTTCATGTTTGTGTTTTCAAACACGTTTATTTTTACGACCGAAGAAAATTCGCTTGAACGCAACCGTGTTTTAAACTAAACGTCTTTAGAAACCGTGATTCTAGGGTGAAAAAGTGTCGATTAAACGCACCCATAGGCTGAGAAAATGCACATGTGGAGATGCAATGAAATTAGGATCTGGGATATAATAACAGCTTTTGGAGATAATTAAATCTTGGATGTAAAAATGATTTTTAATATTCATACACATGTAGGCCGTACAGAGAATGATTGAAGTACCTGAAGATCTATTACCACATCTTTTTCTCTCTTTTCTTTCTAATCTCTTCTC